AGTAATCAAATCAAGGCTCACACAGAATTTTAAAAAAGTGGGTCTCTTAGCAAACATACTTCGATGACCAGACATAAGGAATTGCAAAAGCATGACAGAATCCACTGCAGCCGGCAACTTTGAGGGATGGGACTTCTGAATCCTAGCAACAAATTTTAATATAATACGAAGAATCTTACGAGAGCAGTGTTTCATAGAGTGCTTGACTTTTGCCCATTTTTGTAGCCTTGACTACTGAGTCGCGCAAGGCGCTATGAGCAGTACCCGGGAAAACTGACTCAAAATAATCTGACCCGGTTGCATAGCCTGCCTGAAATGCAAAAAAGAAACAATAGATGGGTTGTTTACCAAACGAGGATTGAGTTGCTCTTGAAAAAGAAACGAACCGTTATGGTGCGATTGGTGGTGCGCAGTTTCAAGAAAGCGCGCAGGAAGACCTGATTGGGAATGGATAGTCGGTCTTTAAGGCAGTCATAATTTGAATTCTCTTGCTCCTGCATGTCTGGTTTTGCGGCTACCTCGAGAAGATTGAATAATGGACGCATCAATATTTTGTTAGTTTCTACAAAAGAAATTTAACAGATACAGTAAGTAGTGACCTCCCAAAGTTTGAAGAAAGCTAAGATAACGGAATGACTTACTAGCTACATCAAGAATTCTGTTTACCAAAGCAATCCTGGCTTCCAATGGCTTCCTTTTCATAACTTCGAGGACCAAAGGAATGTAGTTGAACTTTAAAAAAGGAAGCAAAAAAGCTTTTGAGGTCCGTTTAGAAAATGAGAACTTGTGAGCACTAGAAGGAAGAAAATTTACCTGAGAATTGGCAAAGCTGGCCAGAGTAGGAATAGCTTCGTCTCCAAGTTTATCAATGATGGACTGCAAACAACAAATGAGAAATAAGATTCAGCCTCAGCGAGAAATTTCCACTGGTAGGGGCACCAATAAGTAGATAAGAATACCTGTGCCTGATCAAAAGTTTTGCCAGAAAGAGCTAACGCAAGAGTGGGAAGATGAGGCCGTTTGAGGAGAGAGAAGGCCTTCACGACTAGAAAGCACAATGACGAGGACTTAAAGATATTAATCTCATTAAGGGAAAAATAT